AAAAAAAAAAAAAAGAAAGAAAGGCATGGTGATGTGCACCTGGAGTCCCAGCTACTGGGAAGGCTGAAGCCAGCCTCAAATTGCTCGAGCCCAGGAGTTGGAGGCTACAGTGAGCCATGATTGCACCACTGCACTCCAGCCTGAGTGACCCTACCTCAAAAGAAAGAAAAAACAACAAAACCCAGTGCAGTGACTGGGGGTCAAGGCTGCCTATAGGTAACGTTTTTTTTTAAGAGGCAAAAGTATATACAGTTGTGTGCTGCATAATGACATTTTGGCCAATGCCAGACTATATATACAATGATGGCCCATAAGCGTATAATACCATATTTTTACTGTACCTTTTCTATGTTTATATATATTGAGATACACAAATGCTTACCATTGTGTTACAAGTGCCTATAGTATTCAGTATAGTAACATGCTATGCAGGTTTGCAGCTTAGGAGCAAGAGTCTCTTCCACATAGCCTAGGTGTGTAGTAGACTATACATCTAGGTTTGTGTAAATTCATTCTATGATGTTCAAATGATGACAAAGTCACCTAGGGACACATGTCACAGAACTGTGCAGTACAAGCTCGGCCAAGTTAGGATGGAAGTACACAGAACAGGGACTAGAAGAGGCAGCCAACAAAGTGGCTTCTGGGTAGTGTATCAAAAAAAATAAATAAAAAATAAGCCCGGCACAGTGACTCATGCCTATAATCCCAGCACTTTGGGAGGCCAAGGTGGGTGGATCACGAGGTCAGGAGTTCGAGACCAGGCTTGCCAACATGGTGAAACCCCATGTCTACTAAACACACAAAAATTAGCCCGGCATGGTGGTGGCTTGCCTATAATCCTAGCTACTCAGGAGGCTGAGGCAAGAGAATCACTTGAACCTGGGAGGTGGAGGTTACAGTGAGCTGAGATCACACCACTGCACTCCAGCCTGGGCAACAGAGCAGACTCCCTCTCAGAAAAAAAGAAAAAGGAAAAAAAAATTGTTTTGAGCCTGCCAACCAAAAAGAAAAAAGAAAGGCCGGCGCGGTGGCTCACGCCTGTAATCCCAGTACTTTGGGAGGCCAAGGTGGGCGGATCATGAGGTCAAGAGATCGAGACCATCCTGGCCAACATGGTGAAACCTCGTCTCTATTTAAAAAAAAGAAAAAGGAAAATAAAGTCATAAAGTCAATCTGTCATTGAGACAACTGAAATCAACAAGCTGTGCCACTCACATGATCCATTATATCGGCTCACCTCAACCTCCGCCTCCTGGGTTCAGGCAATTCTCCTGCCTCAGCCTCCTGAGTAGCTGGGGTTACAGGCACGCGCCACCATGCCCAGCTAATTTTTTGTATTTTTAGTAGAGACGGGGTTTCACCATGTTGACCAGGATGGTCTCGATCTCTTGACCTCGTGATCCACCCGCCTCGGCCTCCCAAAGTGCTGGGATTACAGGCGTGAGCCACCATGTCCGGCTATATGCTATTTTTTTTTTTTTTAATTTTTTGCCCTAACTATGGGCACGTGGTACCACACCTGACCAATTTTTGTTTCACCATGTTGGCCAGGTGCTAACTCCTGGCCTCAAGTGGTCCACCTGCCGTGGCCTCCCAAAGTGCTGGGATTACAGGTGTCAGCCACTGTGCCTGTCCCCCCATTCTATATTCTCAAGAGGCATCAGGCACAACCATTCATGGAAGACCTGAACATAACACCAGCTTTTGCAAGACATAAGCCCTGGGTGTGTTGAAGAACCTCTCTCCAGTCACAGACACTCTGCAGTCACAGACCATTCAATGGCTTCTGCAGGACATACGGATGTGACAATGCAAATTGTGCCTCGACCCCCTACTCCCATAGCTGCTGGACCTTTTGTGAAGTAAGAGGGCTGGGTATTGGAGGCAGGAGGACATCTAACGCCCACTCCCACAGCCTAGCTCTCTTGTCATGCAAATCATCCATTTCCAAGCCTTATCTATAAGATGGGTCCAGTAGCTTCTCTGTAGGACTATTCTAAGGGTAAACTGAGATACAGATGCTCCGCAGCTTACTATGGTTCAACTTATTTTTGACTTACAGCATTTTTTCTTTCTTTCTTTCTTTCTTTCTTTCTTTCTTTCTTTCTTTCTTTCTTTTTCTTTCTTTCTTTCTTTCTTTTTTTGAGACAGAGTCTTGCTCTGTTGCCCACGCTGAAGTGCAGAGGCACAATCTCAGCTCACTGCAACCTCCGCCTCCTGGGTTCAAGCTATTCTGCCTCAGCCTCCTGAGTAGCTGGGACTACAGGTGCACGCCACTATGCCCAGCTGATTTTTGTGTTATTAGTAGAAATGGGGTTTCACTATATTGGCCAGGCTGGTCTTGAACTCCTGACCTCATGATCTGCCCACCTTGGCCTCCCAAAGTGCTGGATTACAGGCTTGAGTCACCACTCCTGGCCAACTTACAGCATTTTCAACTTGGAATGGGTTTGCTGGGATGTAACTCCATAGTAAGTGGAGGAGCGCCTGTGCTGTGTATGAATAGCCTAGCACCGTGCCTGGTACAACAGACATTCATCAGCGGTTCATTCCCTCCTCTTTTGCATAAGGAATACCCTCACACTGGGAGGAGTCTGTCACCTTGGTCTTCAGGCTGTTCCTGAAGTTGGTCATGAGTGCGTGGTCCTTTTGCCTGCTCTCATTGATGTTTTCGATCAGCTCCTGGGCTCTCTTCTGCAGGATGTCGATGCTCGAGTCGAGAGAGGAGAAGTAGAGTCCTGACTTCCCTTCCAGCACTGTCAGCTGGCGACTGGCACTGGAGGTGGCGACACAAGGGCAAGAAACCTGACTTCTCAACATAAAGGACGCTGAGATCAGCACCAAACTCTCCCAAGAGCAGCTGATCTGAAAGAGCTACGTGGTAGGAGGGGACCGGTGTTGCCTCCCATGGGTGACATGAGGCATGCTTCCTAGGTTATTCCATTCACAAACACACCCTCAACAATGAGAATGGCACCCCCATTTTACAGCTGAGATAACAGACCAAGAGGCACAACTGAATATGCCCAAAGTTCCAGACCAAGGAGAGCTATCTGTCCCCAAAGCCCACTGTTGTTTTATGACACCAACTCACTTCTTTGGAATACCAATAATAGTATCAATGCTTTCTTTCTTACTTTTTTTTTTTTTTTAATAGAGACAAGGTCTTGCTTTGTTGCCCAGGCTAAAGTACAGTAGCACAATCATAGCTCACTGCAGTGTCAACCTCCTGGGCTCCAGTGATCCTCCCACCTCAGCCTCCTGAATAGGTGGGACTAGAAGCACGTGATACCACTCGCAGCTAATTTTAAAAATTTTTAAATAGAGACTAGATTTCCCTATGTTGTCCAGGCTGTTGTCAATCTTCTGGCCTCCCAAAGTGTTGGGATTACAGACACAAGCCACTGCGCCTGACTGATGCAATCAGCAATCTCCTGCAGCCTCTGCCTTCCAAGTTCAAGCCATTCTGCCTGAGCCTCCTGAGTAGCTGGGTTACAGGAACACTTCACCACGTCCAGATAATTTTCATATTCTTAGTAGAGATGGGGTTTCACCATGTTGGCCAGGCTAGTCGAGAACTCCTGACCTCAAGTGATCCTCCTGCCTTGGCCTCCCATGGTGCTGGGATTACAGGCGTGAGCCACTGTGCCCAGGCTGATGCTTTCTTAAGTGACTTTCCTGTCACTATCCTGCTGCATCCCTTTCCCAACCTACTGGGTGATGTTGACTGCCTGGGGCTATAGTGTGTCTGCACCTCTTTGCCCCCACCAGGTGAGGTAAATACCTGTTGCATTATATTTAAAGAGCATTTAGGCAAGGCGAGGTGGCTCACACCTGTAATCCTGGCACTTTGGGAGGCCGAGGCAGATGGATCACGAGGTCAGGAGTTTGAGACCAGCCTGGCTAATATGGTGAAACCCCCATCTTTATACTAAAGATACAAAAATTGAGGCCGGGCGCGGTGGCTCAAGCCTGTAATCCCAGCACTTTGGGAGGCCGAGGCGGGTGGATCACGAGGTCAAGAGATCGAGACCATCCTGGTCAACACGGTGAAACCCCGTCTCTACTAAAAATACAAAACATTAGCTGGGCATGGTGGCGCGTGCCTATAATCCCAGCTACTCAGGAAGCTGAGGCAGGAGGATTGCCTGAACCCAGGAGGCGGAGGTTGCAGTGAGCCGAGATCGCGCCGTTGCACTCCAGCCTGGGTAACAAGAGCGAAACTCCGTCCCCCTCAAAAAAATAATAATAATAAAATAAAAATAAAAATACAAAAATTGGCTGTGGTGGCACATGCCTGTAGTCCCAGCTACTCAGGAGGCTGAGGCAGAAGAATCGCTTAAACCCAGGAGGGGAAGGTTGCAGTGAGCTGAGATTGCACCACTGCACTCCAGCTTGGGTGACAGAGTGAGACTCCATCCTACAAAAAAAAAGCATTTAAAGAAATGTGCACACACACAAAGTTGTCCCACACCGTACGTGTAACTGTAATTATGTATTCAAATATTGTGTTAACCAGTGAAATAGTGGCAGAAGAGGGATAGCTGTCTAAAAAGCTAAGCAATGAAAAATGTTGAGTAATATGTAATGTTATATAACTTCATAATATTCAATGTAATAAAACGGAACTTCAGTTGGGTATGGAGGAGATAACTAATATTGAGACAAAGATCATAAAAATCTAGAAAAATTCTTCATATAGGTTGTGCTGCCAACGCCTTGTTCTCTGCTTTAAAAACAGAATGGATTACAGGTGGCGCATACCTGTAATCCCAGCTACTCAGGAGGCAGGAGAATCGCTTGAACCCAGGAGGTGGAGGTTGTAGTGAGCTGAGATCGTGCCATTGCAGTCCAGCCTGGGCAACAAGAGCGAAACTCCATCTCCAAAAAAAGAAAAAAAAAAAAAACGTGTTCCTTGGCTGGGTTAGGTGCACACAGCACCTATGGTGTCACTGTCTACACCTTGGCCTCCCCTTCTAGTCTCCTGGAGGGCCAGGGCCATGTCTTATTCATTCATCTTTGTATCTTCAGTACCTACCCCTCATGAGAGAAGCAATAAATGTTCTGCTAATAAATAACTTGCAAAAGTACTTTCCATTACCATCCACACTTGAATTTGATCACCTGAATTCTGTCATCCCAGTCCTCTCTCCTGAGCCTCTCTCCTGAGCTCCCAAGAACATTCTAACCAACCTCCCAGCCTCCCCACTTGGCTGTCTCAAAGGCATCTGAAACTCCACATTTGCACAACCAACAGCATCATCTCCCTGGCAACCCAATTTCATCCTCCCTTCCCTTAGTGAATGACATAAAAAGCCAACTGGTTCCCTAGCCTGAAACTTAGCAGCAAGCCTAGAGTCCGGCTTCTCTCTGTCCCTCTGCATCCTGTCTCAAAATCCTCTCTTTTTTTTTTTTTTTTTTTTTTTTTT